GAGAGATAATGTGTTGACCGAAATGCACTCATATATCGACCACTGCCTGCAGGCTGTGGAGAACAGCGCCGGTAGTGTTGCCCACTCTATGCCCTTTCAAGACTTGGTGAGTGTTTTTGAATTAACTTTTATAAAATTGTATTAATTTAAAACTGTTATTGTCTTATATATAAATTAAGTCATTACGGGGTAGGGTTTAAAAGTGTTTATAATTCTGGGCATCAATGGTTATCTAACCATGGTGATTAACCACTTTTAATTCTAATAACCACAGCTATTCATGATCAGAGACTGGAGACAGAGGCCACCGCACGTGTACGGTGTGAACGGCGGACAAAATTATTTAAACACTCGCCTCGAGACCAACGCCCGGCAACACGAGGCCGCCCGCAATACCCGCCGGTTTATACGTCAAAGTTTTGCTAATATTCAGTGCTATTTAATGCCCGATCCGGGAGACAACGCTCAGAGCCCAGAGTTTATCGGTTCACCCAATCAATTGAGCGATGATTTTAACACAAATGTCAAGGATTTTAGCAATCTTTTCGTAAATCCCGATACGATTAATGTTAAGATAATTAATGGCCAACCGATCACTGGCCACGAGTTTGGCCGCTATTTTGAGGACTATGTAGACATGTTTAACAGCGATTCGGGTCCACGAGCTTGCGATCTCATTGAGGCCACACATCGGGCCTACGATAATAATTTTATTGGCCAACTTAAGGTACTGTATTACTTACATAATTAATCAACATTAAATCATTATGGCAGTAAATAATTAATTGATTTGATATTTTAATTCATGAATAAGTTATATTATATTTTATAAATTGTTTGATTATTTACATTTAATTTAATTTATATTTAAAAATTGTAACTAATTTTAGGACAAATACACACAAGAGATGTCGGCCCTAATGGTTGACAGGCCTTTCCACGGGCGCCGACAACTGACCACTCAGTCAACCGATTTAATCGATTCGTTAAAATCAGAGTTTGGGTTCCGGAAGCGGTCGACCGCCGAGTCTGCCGTTCGGGAACTGACGGATCAGTTGTGCCGCACTCTGGAGGCGGCCTTCAGACAGATATACGAAGAGAATGAGAACCGACGGCTGACGGCCACCAACGATAAAGTCACTGAATTAGTGACTCAATTTAAACTGGATATTGGCTGCCATATTAGGCCCGGCGACTACCTGTCCGATCATACCCTGGGCAAAATTATTGACACAAAAAAGGAGTTCATGATCAATTTGTTTGACGCGTTTGCCGTACAGGACACGGATCAGTGCGCTGAACATAAGCGCCGGGTTAGTTAATTACATTAATTAATAATTGGTTAATGAATTAATATTTAATGTTTAATAAAAAATTTTTTAAACTAGTTATTAACACAATTGGAAAGCGAGGAAATGTTGTTTAAAAGTAACAATAGTCGAGCCGTACGGGAGTTAATCACACAATACGAAAGCATAATCACTGCATGCAAAGCACAATACGACCAGGTATACTTTTTTACCGTGATAAAACAAGGAGACAAAATAATGCAAATTTGTTTACTATGCAGAAAATGAACGAGTTATTCGAGGATGAGGACAAATTTTACCCAAATGAAACACTGGACACACTGAGCGCCGACATATTGAGCACATTAGCCGACGAGCTAATACAGGCCGATGTGGGCACAGAAGTGGTGCCCATTGAGCCCTACAGACAGGCGTTGGACACATACGTGAGGGACAAGTATCGCAACTATCGCGAGATTAACCGCCGGCGCGCCGACAACGACCGGTCGGCGATGGGCGTAGTGTTGGGTAATCTGACCAAACTATATGAGGACGCGTTGAACGACTGGATCCAATTGACCGACACGGAGGACAGGCAACTGTATCTGGACGAGAGTCGACACATTCGCACCCGTATTGTGTCGGAGAATAAGTCGATATATCGGCAACGGCTGGACTTAATGGAGTTGAACGCACTCTTCGACGACATGGAGCGGGAAATGCTGGACGTATTCGCCGAAGAGGTGGAAAAGAGGCACACGTTGTTGGCCCGACTCGCCGACAAAGTGATACAATGGTATTTCAATGAGATTGATATCAAGTATGGCGACCGGCGGTACATACGGCCCGACACGTTGGCGGACATTCATGAGTCGCTGGTGGCGGCGGCTGTGGCGCGTTTTGCAATCGAGCGTGGCCATATCACCATGGACAAATTCACAGAGTTTATAGGCAAAACACTACAACCGGTTTACAATAAGGTGGTCGAAAAAAATAACCAAAACGCGTCGGCGCTGACGGCCATTGGCATTGATTTGGGCACAACCAACAGCTGTGTCGCCTACTTTAAACCGGGCAAAACGGCACAGTCGGGCGCTATTAAAGTGTGTCGTAATCAACACGGCGTCGGCAATAGCGATGTGACCCCCAGTTGTGTCGAGTATAGAGATAATGGAGAGGTAGTGGTGGGAGAGAAGGCGAAGGACAACCTGTTGGCCAACCGACAGAACATTATCTATTCGGCCAAACGCCTGATTGGGCGCCCCTTTAACGACCCGGACGTTACCAGATATAGACAGTACTGGCCTTTCGATGTCGTGGATATGGGCGACGGCGCGGCCGGCGTTGAGGTAGAAGTGGACGGCGAGTCCCGTCAACTGTTGCCCGAAGAGGTGTCGGCGGATGTGTTGCGCAAAATGAAAGAGGTGGCCGAGAGGGACATCGGGCACGCGGTGATTGATGCGGTGATAACTGTGCCTGCTTACTTTACAGATGCCCAGCGCGAGGCCACCAGAGGGGCAGGTATTATGGCCGGCCTTAACGTATTATCTATTATTAATGAGCCCACGGCTGCCGCACTAGCCTATAAGCTCGACCGGTTTGAAGACACCGGCAGTAGGTTTGTTAATTGTGCACACCATGCGCAAATACTAAATATATATTTAAATTAACAAAATATTAAGTAATTTATGAATTAATATTTTATTACTTAAGACTTAATTAATTAATTATACATATACTGTTATTATAAATTATATTAAATATAAATGTAAAATGTTTTACTAAACTAAACTACTTTACTAATTTTTACTAGTTTTACTAAACTAAACTATTTTAATTAAAGGACCGTGCTCATCTACGATTTCGGTGGCGGCACATTCGACGTGGCAATACTGCGTCTGTCGATGGGAGAGGTGAGAGTGTTGGCAGTGGGCGGCGACAACCACTTGGGCGGCGACGATCTGGACAACAACATTATCGACCACTGTTTGCGCGAGTTTTACGCCCAGACGGGGGTAATGGTCGACAAGAACACCGTTGAGGGCGACCGAGCCTTTCGGGGGCTTAAGGACAAGTGCGAGCGCGAGAAGTGGCGTCTGTCCGAAATGACTTCGGCCACCATTACAGTGGACAACATCGCCGACGGTCACGATCTGGTGGTCGAGTTGACCCGTACCGAGTTTGAGACGCTGAACATGGACCTTTTTGATCGCACTATGGACTGCGTGACTAACACTCTGGCCGGTGTCAACGAGGGCGCCGGTATGTCGCCCGACGAGATCGACGATATAGTACTGGTCGGCGGCTCGACGTATATCCCGTACGTTAAGGATATGATTAGGCGTTACTTCAATGGCCGCCAACCGTCCCAAACGGTGAACCCGATGCTGGCCGTGGCTGAGGGCGCGGCACTAAAGGTAACTATTGGTGTTAAGTTTATCTTTATTATCATCATTTGTTTTGTTTAATTATTAATAACATTGTTTAATATTAACTTTTAAACCATTAAGGCTGCTATACTGGCCGGCGGCCAAGCTCACTTACAAAGCCAACTGCGCGTATTGGACGTCACCCCACACACGCTGGGCGTAAAGATCAAGGGTAACGTAATGAGCCGTATCATACCGGCCCAGTCGCCAGTGAACGGCAAACCACACAGAAAACGATACACAACTGTTGCAAAAAATCAGCCCACCATTGAGGTGGAGGTGTACGAGGGCGAGGACGACGTGGCCACCAATAATACCCTATTGGGTAAGTTTGTAGTGATGGATATACCGCCGGGTGAGGCCGGAGACCAAGACGTGGACGTTATGTTTTGCGTCAACGACGACGGCATATTAAAGGTGAGGGCGACTGTGCTCTCTCAGGGCACGTCCGAGGAGTATGAGGTGCAGGAGTATAAGAGTGGCCGACTGTCCCCCGAAGAGCTGCTCCGCCGCCGACATTGATTGTGATATATGTTTTTTGAGTTGTTTTGTATTTTAATTGTGATTATATTTGACTTTGGTTTCAAATACATTAAGTGTTTTATTATATTTACTGAATATTATATTTGTTTTTTATTAATAAACTTACATTTTTGACATTTCATAAACTGTGCTTAAAACTGTGTTTTTAGTTGATTGGCAATCAATGATTGCGCTAATTGAATATAAATAAATGCTAAAATATTAAATCATTACTATTAATTAAAATAATTAAATCAATTTATTACAGAAACCTTTAACAATTATCTAATATGTCATCTAATTAATTATCTAATGTCTTAATTATAATCATTTGCATGTTTTATCAACTTTTTTAATGATTAAATGATAAATTTATATGATTATGGATACTAATACAGTAGATTACTAACCATGTAAATAAAAACTATTTTATTATTAATTTTAAAATGTTATTTATTGTTCTGTATTTTATAAGTATAATTAATTAATTGAAAATTATAATTCTTTGTATTGTCTGACATTGTCTTTATTTGACATTTGTCTGAATTATAACTTTAAAAATATACAACGTGTAGATTTAAAAAAACAATTCAATCAGCTGTTTATCTAGAGTTTTATCTATTTTCTCGACATAATTTGCTTATTTATATCATCCAACTGTCGCTGATATCCATCGATCTCTTCTTTGGACGTCTCGTAAACTGAGGAGAAGGAGTGCCCGAAAGCGGACAACTTATTGACCAGATCTGCTTTGTCGGACACCTGTAGGCCGTCGACCGCCCGCTTAGTCCGTATATAATTGGACGACAGCCGGTCCTTAAGGGTTTTCATTTGATCGCTCAATAGGGGTGCTCTTCGGGGCGCTTGCGCTTGTGTGAGATCACTCAATGTCGGACCAGGTGTTGACATTGTGGTCTTTAAACGAGCCGTTGTGCCAAATTGATTGCTGAGCAACAATAGATTAAAATAATCATCGGGTGGCAATTGAGTTGGCATTTGGTCGGCCTTTACTTGAAAACTATTTGCCACTCGTTGGCGCCGGAACTGCCCGGTAGGCGTGCCTTAGTTCAAAAAATTAATTTATGTTTTAATTTCAATTTAAGTAATTTATAATATAAACAATATTTACCTCGATGTGTAGTATTATTGTCATCATCAACTGCTAATACGCAAACGTTATACCTACCGACGTTGCTATAGTTGGTAAAGTAGGTGTAATAATAACCCTCTTTGTGATACAAGTTTAACGGGAGATAAGTCTGAGTACCGCCCGGTCTGTCTAATGTCGCCGTCACTATAGCGCCCACAATCGGGTCATCGCCCTTACATAGCCTACAGCCCACTATAGGTGGGCATCCGCCCAGCGATGGCCTCAAATATACTTGCAATTCAATCGCTTGAGCACCGATAGAATTGGTCTCAACCACCAGATGTGCCCTAACAGGACTTAACACTTGTTTTGTTAGTTTAATATCAATAGTCCAGAGACCCGATTCAGTTGACTTTAGGTATAGTCTGCACTCATTTAGGATCAAACGTTTATCTATTTGTCCGCCACCTGTAGTACTATATACAGCACCAGACGGGCCGGTAATGTCTACTTCGATGTCGTTGATGGCTTTGGAGCGGACCTGTATTTGAGTGTTGCGTCCGATGTCGGCCTCAATGGGCACTCGAGTCTCATATGTGTTGCTATTTATGACAATAATTTCATTGACAACAGTATGAGTGACCACTTCTGCCATCTCTTTAAAGGTGATAACCTCTTTCATCGCGGCCTCCATTACGCGGGCCATCATTTCGCGGCTCTCGGGGTCCGTTCGGCTCAGGTTATAAACAAGACCCCCGGTCTCGGCCGACAGCTTCTCCAGTTTCGGGTCAGCGCTCACACCGATTGCTAAACAATACACTTTTACCTTAAAATTTAGATATACAGACAATGCAATGAACATTCAATGCTAACTATTAGTGAATTCAATAAACTAACCTGAGCTTTTATTAAATGCGGTAATACATCACTAACATAATCCTTATTGCCAGACAAATGTTCACCATTTGTGGCCAGAAATAATTTCGCGCCATTGGTGTTAACCCCGGCGCGACTGAACGCCGCCAACCCCTCCATAATACCGGCCCTGATATCTGTTCCCTTAGGCGTGTAATTGTTTGGTACGGCGGCCACAAGGCTTTTCTTAATAGATCTACCTTTGATCTTGGTAATTTCGTGTACAGACCATGCTACCTTGTTAAACAACACAATACCCACATAATTACCTTTAAGTATGCGGTTAATACAGCGCACGATTTCCGAGTGCAATGATTTAATCTTTACGCCTCTCATACTGGCCGACACGTCCAACACAAACACTATCGGTTCAGACATTACTATAAGTATAATAATTTATTATAAATTTTGTTAATACTATACAATATAAAATATGTAAATTCACAAATTCATATTGTTTTACTTTACTATAATTGTTGAATATGAATTGTGTAGGATTAACTTTGTCTGTATATTTCAAATTAAATAACTACTGCATTATAATATAAAATAAATCATATTTATAGTATGAATGTTATGAATTTATTAAACCAAAGTTCATAATATCAGTGTATTTAAAAAATTATACAATATTTGATAAACAGTGAAATTCATGTTTTATCATTGATATTAATTTATTATCGTCTACAATTTATAGATATTAAAAACATGAATATCAATTTCTTTATGAATAAACATTGTGTTTAGTATGCGCTGAATTAAAATAACATTTTACAAAATTTAATGTGAGTCATATAATTTATATAACAAGATCTTCATAATTTTGTTTTTACATAACATTTTTTGACTTATTATTTCACTATTACTGACATTGTATTTCATTTGCAACATAGACTGTAATTATAATTAGTTTAGCTATTGTTATAACTAAAAAATAATTTTATTTACAAAACTTTTGTAAAATTTATGTATACATTTTGTGTATATTTAGGGAATTTATGTATATTTAGGTCAACTAAGTTAATGTTTTTCTAATTTTTTAAGCATTTCAAAAAGACACTGTTAGTTAATCATGTGTGTAAATAGGGTGACAAGAAGATTTTTAACAAAGGGAGTTATATATGATTCATAATGGCAAAATAAGCTTGTCCCTTAACCTAAAAGCGTCGATCATTTTAAACAACTCTAACCGCTGTTCGTCTACTCGGTGTCCATTTCTGACCACAATTTGGTCGCATTCCCCGAGTTTTGCATAAAGTCTACTCCTTTTGGTTGCAATTGTCTGACAGTCTTTGAGTCGGCGCCTGATATCGGCCAGCAATTGGCGAAACTCACGGACGGCCTCTTCGTATATATCTATCGGTGTCTCAGAGCTATTATCGCCGTCTGAAACACTAGACTCGACCGCTTGTATAGGCACAGGGGGTTCGCTGGCAGTACTTTCAACACGATGGTCAGTGAGATCAAGAGCGGTAAAAGTATCAAGGGCCAACTTTTCATCATCAGTTAATTGGTTATGATCACTACTGATCATAGTGTGTTCCAACTTAATAACAGACTGTTTGTATTGTTTGCAAATATCATCATCATAATTATGGTTTATAAAAGTTGTGTGACTCATATTGTTTGTGTCCGTTGGAGTGTAATTATATTTCATAGAATTAGCATTGTGAGAATCAGTGGGCAAATTGACCGGTTTGATAAAACAGTCTAATAACTGAGCTTGCTCGCTAATTTGGGTCTCGGTCAAATTTAATTTGTATTCATATTTTTGGTCATTATGTTCACTAATATCATTGCATTGTATGTTTTGGCGGTTCATCCGTGCGATGAGAGTCTCTCTACATTTGGTCACTAATTGTTGCGGATATTTGTTAATAAACTCGTGATCATTAAACGAACGCAGTATACGGGAGCGAATTATAAGGGCATTTCGATCATATAATGTACGATTTGGACCACATGTATTGGCCAGCACTTGTATTTTTTGATTATATTCATCGAGTAGTTCTTCAACAAGGGCAATTAGCGTATTACCGCTCATTCTCTGGTCACGCGGCTCCGTTATTTGTGAATTACCATGGCCCATATTTATTGTCTAATAATTATCACTTATTTGCTGTAGTTTGTGCTGAAAGTAGATAAAAGTTTGTTGTAAATAATAATTAATTAATAATTTATAATTAATTTGTTTGCTATATTGCAATTAATATTTGTATTCTTATTGCTATAAAATTAGCTAAAGCTTATTTACACAACTTGGCGATTTTATTTATGGCAAGTTTTCAATATTAAATGTTATCTTAATATTTTGTAACTAGTTATGTAAAATGATAACAAATATAAATCTATAATTAATAAATTAATTAAAATATACTGTACATGTATATTATCAAAAATAATAATTCAAATAATAAGAACGCACACACATTAAACCAAAATAACAATATAGTAGCAAGCTAAATGCTTATTTATATAATATCGCATTAATAGTTTATAATTAAACACATGGTACCACATAATTACCATCATTTATTCGGTTAATACAACGCAGGGTTCCGTGTGTAGGGTATTAAACTTTACATCATTCATACTGCCCGACATATCCAACACAAACACTGTCCGCTCACACATTGATTGTGATTATTATTATTACTCTAATTCACAATTTAAAAGTTATGTTTATTTTATTCACTTTAATTGTTAATTGTTAAGCAGCAATCTACATAAAATTATGGTTTTTATATAATATTTTGAATTAATAAAATGGTTAAATACAAAATATATTTACATTTAGAATATATGTGCAATATTCCAGATAATGTAAATTATTATATTTGATTATAAAATATTACTGTAAATGCTATTTCTTTCACTAAACTAAAGTCCATATAAATCATATAATATTTGATAAACAGTGATATTATCTGATAATAATATAAAATTGCCATTTAAAAATATAAAAACAACACTTTATTTCTTTATATATAAATATAATTAACAGTTTTTGCTAAATTAAAATTGAATTGATTTTATTGTACCTTACCTCTTACACACATTAAATATAAATTATATTTTTAAATTGTGAAGGAAATAGACACCACCCACCCTAAGACATCACCACAAACAGATCCACACCACAGATAAGACAATATCAATACAATGCTTTCACATTTCATACATTTTTCCAGTGAAAAACACACACAAGCACAGCAAAGCACACACACATTGTCCTAATTAGCATTTGACCCACATTTGGACACAAACTCACCCTTTTATGACCCGCCCGAAGGCATCACTTCCCACGAAAGCAACACATTTCAACACTCAATTCAACTCAACCAAATATATATGTTTTTTATAGTTTAACCATAATTAATTTTGATTGTTATTAAAATTATATACATAACTTAATTATACTAAACATTACATATAATTTGGCACCAAAATCTCGCGCCACACATAACCCATTCGCCCACAAATTGTCACCCAAAAACCATAGCAACTCACACTCCAAAATATGTTCACATTTAAGACATACTGTATATTTTCATTCAAAACTCAGTTCAGTTCAGTTCATTTCAATAAAAACCATTCAAAAGCACAAAACGCTGTCACTTTCATTCACTCACTCTCACTCATTATTTTCAAACGCGATCTGCTTTGCTCGAAGCACCGATCGTATTCTGCTACTCTGCGTGTGTCTGCAATATAGCATCGACCGTATTCACGAGTCTGCAATAGCATTGACCACAAAGTGCTACCGGCTTTTCACTGTTCATTCCACTCGAAAGTTGACCAGCAATTCACCCGTCATTCCAGTCGTTCGCCCCAAATAATAGAGTTTTTCATTCACAACCGCTAAAAAGTAGCGCCACTCACCCAAACAATTCATTGCCGCTGAAAAACAGCGCCAATCACCACGATCACCACATTACGCCGTACACCACCTGAGTAGCCGTCGCGACCACAAAGTGGCCACTCCTCGTCCACCACTGACTGCACTCGTATCCACTCACCCCCACATTCGTCGGTAAGACCTTGTCGATCTCCAGATTTAGGCCTACATTGCCGTCGGAAAGTCTGCCACCCGATTCGAGCTCACCCACACACACCCTCACCCCCTCGAATTTGGCGCCAGACCCCACCGTTGACGACCATTCCCACTGTCAACACCCCCACCTTCACCCGAGGGCTCCAACCAAAACCAATAACCCTCACAAAATAATTTGTAATAAAAATTACTTATGATTTCAAAATTTTAATTAATAGGATGTCACTTATGCGGATACACCAATTGTAATATTAATGAATGGTTGAGTGAATTACAAATATGCGATTAAACTTTAGTTACAGGTTAATTTACACAAATCACTTAATTGTATCTAATACTCCACTTTAATGCATAGTTAATCACAACTAATTTTATAAAATTTGATTTTTGATATAATTATATTATTTATATTATGTATTGAAAATCAGCCAGATGCCCTTAATGAATTATGATGATTTATAAATTATTGGACAGAATAGATAAGATTACAGTAAATCAATATGTAATTGGTTAGAATTAACTATATTAATAAAAACATAACATATAATTTATAATTTTATATAATAATATTGTAATATTTTGGTGTTCATAGTTATGATATCAAACCCGAAACTAAATTGACTCTGGTAATTTATTCTTGTAATTCCGTTCAATGTGGATTTTTAAATATGATAGAATTAAATTGAGAAATATAATTGAAAATAATTGCAAATTTATGTTGAGATTTAGCTTTTATAATTACATTCATTATACAAATTTTATTCTGTAATATTTTGAATAAACTGTAATGTTATTTAATTTGACAAATTTATATTTACTAACGTTGAAATTAAATTCAGATTGGTACCGGAACAGCTTATATGTTTGATTCAAGTTAGTCTTTTTAACTAGCATCAACAAACTTTTTTAATATTGCCATTTTGTCAACAAATTAATCAATATATACAATATGTAACAAACTGTAAATAAAACAATTATCCAACAATTTAGTATAATGAAATTAATTAATATTTTATATTGGACTAGAGCTTTATTATGTAAACAATATTATAACTATGTTATTGATAACTAATTATATTTTATATTGTACATTTTGTTATTATAACGCTATTTATTACATTCATAAACTACTAATATTAAGGACAAAAATTGTAAATATTTTAATGTTAGTTTTATAGAATGACACAAGTAAATGTTCATGTATGTTTAACTTATGTTCATAAATGTGTAAATAAAAATTTCGTTAGGAAGTTTAAGGCCAAGAATATATTAAATTATGAATGAAACTCAATTTGCACAATAATTCAAGATTAACTTACAGTTTATTTAATCATCATGTGTATTTTTTAAAATTATATATAATATTATAATATTAACATTATAAAACGTTATTAATTAAAATCTATTTATAATTTTAAACTTGACTTTACATTTAAACATTTAAAACACAATCATTCAAAATATTTTCGTAATAAGGAGGATCCTGATGCTCACAAAAATATTGAAATAATTATAAAAATTATTATAATATTAATATGTATAATTACAATTACCCGTATTATTTCACATATAGGTGCATGCACTTATAAGTGAATTTCACAAATTTTGCAAGTTACAAAAATTACAGCACTTATACCCGGATATAAGTGCACCCCTTGTGTAAAAGTCACATATAACTTATATTAATATATATTATATATATTATATATGTGCAACATAATATAAATTTAAATTAAGTAAAATATATAAAATATTTGAATGACATATTTTAGCCATATAAATCATAATAGAGCTTATTTTATATACCTTATTGTTTAAAATTATGTTAATTTGAGTTTGTCATTTAAATGCATTAAATTAAAAATATTTGAGCAGTATATAAAATCTTATAACTTGCAACATTTGTAGGATTGTTCAACTTTCCAAACTTTGTTATTTTGAATAAGCTATAATAATTTATTGGGAAATAATTTTAATTAAAACTATAACAATAAAGAAATAAAATTGGAAAAACTTGACCCCTGAATTTATTTTATATTAATTAAAAAAGCTTAAATACCATTTGTATTTATTATAATTTGGTAGGATTTAATAATTGTAAGCTATTAACTAAATTTAATTGGATTAAAGTTTTTATTATTTATTATTTTGTTTTAACTAAACTCATTTCAATTAATTGTTTTAAAATGTAGCTAACCATAATAAGTTGATCAGTAAACTTTGCATATGAGTTGGATGAATCAAAAATTTTAATTTGACCGGTTATTATTGTCCAGCTTGATAATTAATGAAATATATAATGTTTTATTATTGATAAATTGAGTTATGTAACAATATTTCCAACACTTTTTTATCAAATAACCTTCTGTTATTTCTATGCATAATAAAACATAAATCGCTACTAAATTAATTCAAAACACTTTTTATTTAGATGTAAAAAATATAACAACACAAAATAATTTGTAAATATTCTGGTACATATAATATTGTAATTGCACTTAGATAAAATTAACCGTTTTACACGTGATCATCTAAATCATGATCATTGACCTGTTCAATAATCACCGATGGTTGATGTTTCTCATGTTTGTAAACGGCGTTACGCGGATTATCATGGTGATGCTTGTGACCATGATGTTTATAGTGACCGCCATGCTTTTTACCAACCGGGTGCAAATCAATAATATACTGATTTACTGTAATCCTATCTACTCTGTCCAATAATCTCTGGGTCAATGTTAATTCATCAAGGGCATCGTGCTGATCTTTACCGTCATCTATTTCCACAACATCAACCTCTTGGTCAGTTTCTCGCTCCTGACCCTCGTCATCGTCGTCCGGGTCCTCCTCGACCACAACCCGGGGCTTCTGTGCCGGCTCGTCGGCCGGTAGGTCCGACTCTTTGAGGTCAGGTTTAAGCTTATTATCGTTGGCCAGTCTATGGTTACGCCTATACATAACGTCGCTGTAATAGTTGCCGGCGTTTTGAAGCCCAGGGGGCGCCGGACCGGCGGCGCAATCGTTGCTGTCATACGGATATTGTGTACAGTTTTTTAAGTTTCGGCGTTCGGTCTCTAGACTCATGTGCATCAGGAAAGCCGAGCGTTCATCTTTAGTGCAATGATCCTGGTGAATTAAGCAAAATATGTGTTTTTATTTCATGATAATATAAATAAGTTATAAAATATCTAAATATTATAATTTATTATAATTGTATGATGCAAACCGGAATCACCAATTTTAATATAAATTTATATTCTAGTCAAATAAAAATTGTTTATTTAGATTTTATTACAGTTTAATTTTCAAAAGTTATTTATTTGTTTTGAATATGATAATACAAATTTATATCTACGGTATCTATTAATAATATTCATGATTTAATTGCTAAACTATTATAATATAATCTAATATAATCAAATAATTTATAGATAACAAATTTTAACTGTAATATTTAATTATATAATTTATAGAATATTGAATATATCAACTGTTATATTTTATAAATTAATAATTTATCTTGTACCAAAACATTAACCATAATACAATTTGGGTAAAACACCAATGTCTTAAATTATTATTATTTTGACATTTAGTAAATTATAACTAACTGTTACACAATTTAGCTACATGTATTAAACATACTTATAATATGCCAATTAATTAAAATAAACATTTCTATTAATGCCAAAGAAAATATATATTACCATAAAACTTATAATTTGTTTATCATTCATTATAAGATAATAATTACATCTAAGCTACAAAAATTACATGTATAAGTCACATGTATCTCTCTGCACTCAAACAATCATACAATAATTGTACATGTACAGTTCTTAAAACATTATTGCATCATATTGCTTTATCTTTGCTTTATTACCAAACTCAAAATAGCGGTTATTTTACCCACACAATAAACCATACATTAAAATCTAAACTCACCTTGTTATTGCTGGTCATGCAGCCGGTCATTTGCCAAATAAAGCAATACACGGGCCGAGTATTATGTACCAAGCGTATCTCTGCCGCTGTTACTTGCCACTTGGTCATACTTTTAGCCATACACTTAATCGAGGGCTCCAGTATTTTTGAAAAACACGACTTGGCCAGTTTGTTCATGGGTTGACTATGTAGATCATCGTCTGACTCGTCATTCCAATTTTCGTCAAACTGATCTTGCTCATCATGGCCATGATTTTGTTTATTTATTTTATTAAATTAACATTATTAATTACAATAACACAAGCGCCAATGGGTTATAGGAATTACATTTATTATACGTTTTTAATTAATTATGATCACGTCAGATCGGCATAATTTTTATGATTATAATATTTGCTTTTATTGTTTTGTTAAATAAATTTTGTAACACATTAATAAAATACTGTAAATTTCTATTTAATGTATAAATAAATTAAGTATT